GGGGGGGGGGCGGCGAAAGCGGCGAACAGAAGGGCGGACAGAGGGGCGGACAGAGGGGCGGGGGAGGGGCGGACAGAGGGGCGGACAGAGGGGCAGACAGAGGGGCGGGGGAGGGGCGGACAGAGGGGCGGACAGAGGGGCAGACAGAGGGGCAGACAGAGGGGCAGACAGAGGGGCAGACAGAGGGGCGGACGGAGGGGCGGACAGAGGGGCGGACGGAGGGGCGGACAGAGGGGCGGACGGAGGGGGGAGTCGGTGCGGGGGTGGCGGGGCGGCGCCTCTCTCGCGGTGCCCTCCGAGCGAGTCGAGGTAGAGGATGCACCTATTCACAGGCGCAGGTGTGAAGAGACGCTGTTCACAGAGGTAGAGCGAGTCGAGGTAGAGGACGCACGTCTGCTCGCCCTCCTCCGCGCCCGCCAGCGCCTTCTCCTCCTCTTCGCGGGCGCGCTTCTTGCGCCGCTCCTCGCGGATGCTTCCCTTCTTCGGCTTGGCCTCGCCCTCGCCCTCGCTCCCCTCAAGCACGATGCTCCCCCCCGCGGAGCCGGCGCCGCTGCCGGCGCCGCCCGAGCTGCCGCGCGTCGCTCGCCGCTTTGGCCCCGGCTGCTCATCGCCGCCGTCCGCCGTCAGGTCGAGCGTCGCCGCCGTCGGCAGGGCGGCCGCCGCGCGCCGCTTGCCGCTCCGCTGCTGCTGCGCCGCCGCGCTCCCGAGGTCCGAGTCGGTCCACGCGCGCCGCTGCGAGTCGTCGGCCTCCGTCTGCTGCGAGTCGTCCTCGTCGAGGTCGTGCGCCGTCTCCTGGCTGCCGCCGGCCAGCTCGGCGGTCTTGTTGAGCCGCCGCCGCTGCGCCGGCGGAGCGCGCACGGCGGGCTCTTCGCTGAAGCTCCAGCCGTCGCCGGCGGGCCCCTCCCTCCGACCGCGCGGAGGGCGATCAGACTCAAAGTCGTCGCCGTCGCCGTCGTCCTTAGCTTCGTCAAAGAGCTGCTGGGCGTTCGTCCGCCCCTGGGGGCCGCCGCCCTCGAAGCGGTCGACGCTGCGGAGGCTCCCGTCGGTCGGAGATTCTTCGGGCGCGGAGGGGGGCGCCGACGGAGCAGCCTGCAACGGGTCTCGAGAGTGAGGGGCAGGGAGGGGAGGGGGGCAGGGAGGGGGAGGGGGCAGGGAGGGGGGGGGGGCAGGAGGGGGGGGGCAGGGAGGGTGGGGGGGGGGGGCCCCAAAGACATTATTCCCCTCCATTCTCCTTAACAAGGAAAGAGAAACCCCCCCCTTTTTTCTCCCAAATAGATTTAAAAGGGGTTCCCCCACCTCAACACCAATCCGGGGGAGGGGAAAAATGGACCCTCCTTTTAGGGGAACCAGGTGGTTTTTTTTTCCCCAAAAAATAGCCCCCCCCAGGTGAAACAAAAAATCTCCCCTTCAAGAAAACGATCTTCTCTCGCAAAAAA